TATATATATTTATCTGGGGATAATCTTTGGAAAAGTCTTGTAAATTAGGATAACCTCATTGACAAAGAGCTGGTTGTAAGAAGCTGATCACCAATATATAAAGTCAGGCTCTCAGTTATAAGCAAAAAATAATAACACAAAATAAAAAAAAAGATCTAACCATTTTTACAGTGTTTTGTTTTGTTTTTGTAAGAAGTAATTACTGTTTAACTGTTTTTTGTTTGCTTCTAGCTGCTCCCTACTGGACCAAGGAGACCTCAGATCTCATGTATGCACCAGGGGAAACTGTCAAACTAGACTGTCTGGCCAAGGGGAACCCAGAGCCCACCATTTCCTGGAGTATCAACGGCCAATCGCTAGCAGGTCTGGCACCTTGCTTGACATTTTCATCTTTTTGCATGTTTTTGCATCTCACTTTGAAATATAGAGGAAAAATATTTACTTAACTTTTTGTTTTTATAATTAGAGTGAATTCATCTTTTTGCAGAACAAAAGTAAGAGAAAATGATGCAAAGAGAAGCACAAACGAAAAAAAAAACTAAAGGAGGGATAGGAGAGAGTAAGATAAAGGGAAGCATGAAGGGGAAACAGAGATAGGAAACAGAGAATTTAGAATATAAGATATATGAAGACGTTAAATTCAGGAAAAAATTAAAGGAAATATAATATGGAGGAGGGAAAAAAAACTGTTTTTCATGGTGAGGAATTAATGAATGAAGGTGTAAAAATAAGCAACACATATATGACTTCAGCAATATCCTTATTGGCATTATGAGAGGATAATCAAATTGTTATGTAGTTATACTTTTTATTTATTTTATTATGAATATGCCTTGCTAACAGAGCTGCAAGGCATGCTGAGGGCTGTAAATACCGTTTTTCTTTATGATAAGGTGGTATAGCAAAATTTAGTGGAGACATCAAGCTTAAAATGCACACATAGGACACTGAAAAAAATAAAATAAAAACACAACTGAAAGCAGAAAAATATGCATCCTTTAGAGCCAACATTTTCCAGGCCAAGGACCCCAAACTGATGGCTAGATGGAGCGGGGACCCCCTATTTAAATATACTGCATTAAATTTTGTTATATCAAACTGGTCCTACTGTATTGTAACTCAATTACAGAGGAAGTACTGTAATGAAAGTAAAGTCCAGGGATAATTAAAGTATTTCTGATTCTGATTTCTGGTTGATGGGACAGGTGTTGTGAATGAAACGGTGCCCAGCTTGAAAGAGCTCCTGTGTGTCGCTGAATGTGTGCATTGATGACTGAAAGACATCTTCTGCCTCCATTTATCTGTTTAATACAGTGCATTAAAATCATGTTAATGTTTATTTAAAGACATTTTAATTAGTGGAAAAATTGCAGGGGGGAATATAAAGAAACAATTCTAATCAACCAAATCTTTTGTGACCCCCCATGCACTACCTCTGTGGACCCCATAGGGGTCGCAGACACCCCCTGTTAAAGACCTACGTGTTAGAGGACTCCTTCATAAATGAATGAGAAAAACACAAAGTATTAACACTTTCAAAGCAATAAAAAAAGGAGAAACATTTTCTAGAAGATCTTGTAAAAAATTGTAAGAAAAATAAAGATGGAAATTCATCATGTATTTTCTTAAAGGTGCAGTTTTTGATGTGAGTAAGTCTGTCAAAATTGCTGGTGGTTTATTTAATTGTCAGCTGGAGTGTTTATTATACATGTAATCATGTTGTGTGTGTCTGAGATGGTGTGTGTGTGTTTGTGTGGAGGGGAGATGAGGGATAAAAGAGTTATGAAAAACAAAAGATAATTTGAAAAGACGAAAAATGGAAACTTCAAAAGGCATAAGGTTAGAGAAAGACAAAGATGTAAAATTGAAAAGTCAATACATCTGTAAAGAGAAAAGGGGATGAGTTACAAAAAACAGTTACAAAAAATAAAGGAGAACTTAAATATGTCTGTTAGCATTTAATCTGCCTACGTTTTCTGCTCATTTCCTGGGCCCATATCTCTCTTTGTATATCTGTTCAGTGGTGGATGACGATCCACGGCGTATCGTAACAAGGACTGCTCTTATACTGAGGGATGTGAAGACGTCTGACACAGCCGTCTATCAGTGTGAGGCCACCAACATGAACGGCTCCATCATCCAGAATATCAACCTGTTTGTTGTTGGTATGGATACATTCTGCCCTCACAAGTCTGCCGTATAAACATGCTGCATTAAAATCCACATTCAGAAAAATACTCTTGTGACTTTTGTATTTGTAACTAAGGCTTCATGGATGGGTCTTGCTTTTTCCTGCAGAGCTTCCTCCTCAGATCTTGTCTTCTGATGGGATAGTGTACAAAGTCTTTGAAGATGAAGACGTCTACATGCAGTGTGAAGCCTTTGGTGTTCCCCTACCAGACATTTCATGGTAAGAAGCACATTTATTTTCATCTTGATTAAAAAAATAAATAAATAAAATAATTTAAAAAGTTTAAGTTTACATTATTTGTTAAGCAGAATCTTAAGGAAGTTGCTTTCACACTACCCTTATCCATAGTATGTTTTATTTTCTGCAGATGGAAGCATGTGGCTGTTTGAAATCAATATTGTTTTTTGAAGCTGAACTGTATTTCTCGGAGATTAAATTTACAGATTAGATTTACATGATTGACAAGCTGTTTTGTGGCACGTTTTTCAATTATCTTGGAGACCACTAGTAGGATACATACTTATTGACCTATAATTACATGGTTTCATAGGATCTCCTGATCTATAGGTTGGTATAATCACTGAGATCTTCCAATTGTCAGGGAATGTGCTTTGTTGTTGTTGTTTTTTTTTATTTGGGATAATTTATTATACTTCTGAATGGAGCATTATGTGGTTGGTTAAATGCCTTAATAATCTTCATATTCATCTAAAAAAAACATCTATTGCTACAGAAATGTGCAGACAATCCATCCGCCCATTATCTGATATGCTTAATCCCAAGCGAGGGATTCCAGGGTAGCAGTAATGCTGGTGCCTATCTCCAGCTGTCTACGGGCGAGAGGCGGGGTACACCTAGGACAGGTCACCAGTCCATTGCATGGCAACACAGAGACAAACAGGTCAAACAACCATTCACATTTAGAGAAGCCAATTAACCTACCGGTCATGTTTTTGGACTGTGGGAGGAAGCCGGAATACCCGGAGAGAACCCACGCATGCTCAGGGAGAACATGCAAACTTCATGTAAAAAGACCCAGGGCCGGGAATCAAACCGGCAACCTTCTTGGGTTGGGCTTGCTTGTCTTCGAGGCACAGGAGGCGACCCTAGACAGAGTCCAGAAAGTACAACTTAAAAAACTGATCCTATCTGTATTTGGTTAAAATTGGAGAAAATATATATTTGTGTCCTTTATCACGGAGAGTGTATCAGGTTTCTCTACAATGTTCCTATTTGACTGTTATTTTGTACCTTTTCTTTTCTTATATGGCTACAAAAGCCCTGAACAACTCTCAACACAACAAGCTGTCTGAGATGGAAATCCACTGGAATGATTCATTGATTTGATTTTTGTGCAGGTACCATGAGGATGATATTCCTCTGCTCTCAGATCAACGTGCTTCCCTGTTTACTAATGGAACTATTGGGCTGGGTAACGTCTCCCATACTGACCAGGGACTGTATACCTGCTCTGTTGATAACACCAACATCTCCATTACTGCTAACCTGGAAGTTTTCAGTAAGTAATCATATTTTTTAGTAGCAAAAAACACAAGAATCTGTATGACTGTATGATCTGGTTGAACTGTAAAGTGCCTTGAGATGACTTGTGTTGTGAATTGGTGCTATATAAATAAACTGAATTGAATTGAAGACTCCACTAAATGCCAAAGAAAAATTTGTTTTCCTTGCTTTTTTCTTCTTCTTTGTATTTGTATTAAGTTTCAATTATGTTCCTTTACATTTTGGTGAGATTATATAAGTACTACAAAGTGCATATCAAGTAATCTCTTGAGTGATTCATGACGAATTGACCAAAAGGAACAGTGTTAAATCTGCAGTTTGTGGTTCCTCTTTCTTCCAGATCGAACTGTGATCCATAAAGGTCCTCAGGACATCCACGTCCACAGAGGAGAATCTGCTTTCCTGGACTGTCTTTTCTACAAAGATCCTCGACTGCTTAAATACGAGGTCCATTGGAAGAAACGTGGACAGAATCTGGAGTTAACAATAGACAAAAAGTAAACTCACACATTTAATTGATTAATGCATGAACACACACTGGTTTAAGTAGTTTCTGCTGAGTTGAAATGTTTAATTACAGGATTTGTTAATTACGCATCACATTTCAGAAGGACATTTTAATACTGGATGAAAAACCCTGAGACCTGACACAATGTGTCGGCTATGTAAACCATCACAAACTGTCCCTCATTAAAGCTACACTGGATCCATGATAATAGTCCTTTTATGTTGAAATATTCCACATACGTTTTATGCTTCTTGTGTCTGATTTCCTATCTGTCTCATCTGCTTTTAGAAATTGTATTTATTTAGCAATGCCATCCATAAAAAATAGACTCGGTACCTATCTATATTGGCAATGCAGATGGATCTCCATTATGTTGCAGCCCGAGGGATATATGAATTACCTCACTGACTAGAATGTATTGTACTTTCTTTAGAGAATAAAACACATGGTTGGAAAAGTGGAAAAGTAAGTTAATTGTCTAACAAATAGAAAATTTGCCATATTGTATAAGAAGGAGGAGATTTTTTAATGTAAGTTCTAAATTGCATCTAAAAATGCACAAATCTTTGCTTAGAGGGTATCAATATTTGTTCCTGCATGTTATCAATTAGAGAAAGGTCTGATTTCTTGGCTGCCTTCTATGTACAGCCAATTTAGCACTGAATAATTGGAGAGAGATTTATGGACCAAGTATACATAAATGCATTTTCCAAGGATCCACAAATGATTCTACATTATTTGGGTCTGAAGGTCCAATAATAAGTACGTTCTCCTTTTTTTAAACAGCTAAAACTAAATTCTTAGGAAAAACTCTCATGTCAGGCATGTATAATTAAAATTAAAATAAGAGAAAGGTCTGTGATATTGATTACAATTTGCAATTCTTTCTTGCTACTTAAACCGGGCTATTTCTTGTGCTTTTGCACAACCTGACATTGTTACAATAAGATGTCTTTGTGGTTCAGTCTTCCTTACAAAGGTTTGTTTAAAAGTGAACCAAATCAAATGAAGGTTGAATTAACATGAACTTCCTCTTCAATCGAACGTAGTCCCCCAGACCTCCTGATTACGAACTCCCCCTTATGTGAACACTGCTGGATTGAGACAAGTACGTGACCCTCCAGCAATATAAATTTTAGTCAGGACGGTGCTACTGTATAAACACAACAAATCTAAACCTTAAATCTCTCACACTGTGTCAGTAAGCAACAAAATTGTCTTTTTCTGGCTTCGTTCAGGGAGTTTCTGACCCTCTATTGTATGATGTGGAAGACTAAACTCCATTAAACTCCATTTCATGGCTGATTGGGTAATTTCTTCTCTACGAATAATTACCCTAAAAGCTACTCACAAACTGATTGTTCTCCGTAATTAAAAAACAAGTAAAGCGGTGTGCTCTGATACTATACCCACTGCTGATAAGACCTTACAACTAAAACCAATACTCTGCTTGGTTTTAACATCTTGTCAGGGCTTTAATCCAGTGTGAAGGCATCATTGTTTTAGAATGCCGGTTTTTCTATATTTTTATACTTTCTTTTTCTTCTTTTTTCTCCAAATCCAGGTACACTATGTTCAACAATAACACATTAAAAGTGAAAAATGTCCAAATAGAAGACACAGACAATTACTCCTGTGAGGTCAGAACCGAATCATTGGGCCAGGTGACAGCCACAGGCTCCATCACTGTTGTAGGTACGGATATGTGTGTTGATTGTGTGATTCTTTGTGTCCCGCAGTAACAGACTTATGTTCAGAAGCTTACGTTCAGTCAGGTACAGAAATGTATTATTGCCATAGAGCTTTTAACTGCTTCTTTTTTATTATTTTATGACTTTTTGTAAAAGATGTATTCTTCAGTGCCATTGCAAAGTTAATTGAGCAAAAGATTTTTCACAAATTGTCAAAAAAAAAAACAAAAGTATCAGGCAGAAGCAAAAGTTTATTTATGTCTATGCCCTTTCCATATTAAAAAAATAGGTAACCTGCCTTACAGACTCATAGACATCAGCAGTCCTTCCAAACATTCATGTTACAGCTATTAGAATTGAATTGAATAAAGAGAAAAAAAATAAGCAAATACATAAATAACTTATTGGGACACCGATTTTTAAAGCACATCTTCCTCCTTGTACATGATGAAAATCATTTTATTATACTGATTTTTAAACTGCATCATTCTTGGACATTGCTTGAGCTCCACACACAAGTTTTTAATTAACAACATTTTTATAAGGTATAACAATTTTAAAATTCATGGTTTTATATTTTTTCTACATCTTAAAAAGTTTAGTTAGAATAAACTGTTAAAAGCTCAAAGCTAAAGCAACATAAATGATGATTACTTGCATGCAAACTTCTAACTGGAGCTGTATGTTTGGCCAACAGCTCCACCGGAACCTCCCAGCTCACTAACGCTTTCCGTTGACAACGACTACAGTGTCACGCTCAGCTGGACCCCTGGAGCCTCAAACAACAGCCCCACTACAGGTACAGAGGCATGACGTTGTAAACAAACAGCAAAACTAAGAGGAAAATCACTTCCTTTGTCTCCTTAAAAGGTTTCCCGCTCTCAGGTGGATTTTCACTAGATTAACACCTATTTCAATGATTCTTTATTTATCACAATCATCAGAACATCAGCAGCACTGAGTCACAAAGGTAAACTTAAGAACAGCATTGAGGGAACTTCAATGCACCAAGAAAGAATTTCAGTCATGAGGACACCTTACAGTTTGAACAAAGTACTTAAAGAACATTGATGAAAGAAGGTGGAGAAGGCAGAAGGGTTTACCTCAAGCAACTACCGAAAATAAGCTAAAGGTATGCTATTTTTAGTCCAATGCAGTAATGCATTCCTATATCTCTATAATGTAGAAACTCAATGTTGACTATGCAAAAGGAGGACCTGACTACGAGGAGCCAGCTTATCTGGTCACTGCTGCAAACAAGATTGTAAGACAAGTGGTTCTAGAGAGGAAGAGGCCATATGTGGTAAACATCAATATTGTAGTTTAAGCAACAAACCAAACGGTTTTGATCTCGGACTATTTTTTCCCCCCAATTCTTTGAGCATTCACAGCCCTAGATCTTTGAACATTTCTGTGCACCTTGGGAGGAAGTTTTGTTGTGAACTTTGGGGTCTCTCCACTGCTGCCATAACTCGTCCCCCAGGCGGTTATGCTACGTTCACAATTGATGCATTTTATGCAACATAAAAAGCTTCTGCTGACTCAGTTTTTATACTTGAACATGCCATGATCAGACGCACCTCAAGAGCATCTTTGATGCTCCCCAAGCACGTCCAGTAAAGTGTGTCCAGATGCATTTGATGCTTCTGCTGCTCCAGTGTTCAATGGTTCAGTGAGAGTGGCTTTGCTTTAATTGCTGTGATCAGTGGGGGGAAAAAAAGTAGTTTAATGTTTAAGTTAGAAAGTCCACCTAAAAACATTGTCTGTGCAGTCAGTTCATCAAGGTTATGATCCTGCATTAAATATTATTTGGCTGTAGGAGGTGTGCATACCCAGACAATACCGGCCGTGGGCTGTCACTGAAAAACCCTCTGCAGCAGCTGCCTTAGGCCCGATCGCGTCTTGAGGTTTTTTACCTACAGCTCATGGTGGCTGTAAGTAGATGTTAGCATTTTTATAGATATACACTGAAAAAAATTATGCAACTGCTTTTGGCATTTATTCAATCATATTTACTTACTTTAACACCATTGTTTTATGTCCTACCTGTCATAATTTTATCTAAGGCTCGGACCCACATGCAGTGAAGCCAAAAAGAGAGACACAGAGTAAAAGTTGAACGGGTTTTATTGAAGTGATATGAGCTCGGTGCAGAGTTTCCCCGAACTCTGCTCAGCCGGAACTGGAAGACGAGGGGAAGACAGACTGTTAGTTCAGGCTCAGTAAGAAATATGATTCGTTGATCTTGAAGGAGCGGATTTGTTGTTGACTCACGTTTCCAGAGAAGTGGAGAATCCTTGACTCGGATCTGTGTGTTGGTTTACCGGAGTTTGTCTGATTCGGTGGAGGGCGGAACAGGGTTTACCCAGAACTCGGACGGATAAGATGGACGAAGACGCTGGTTGCCACTCAGATTTCCTGAGGTACTTGAACGGGTCGTGGTGAAGATGATTTTCTTGCTCAGAGAGTGATTTCAATGATCTCAAAGGTGACTAGATCCAAACCTCCAGTTTGAATCCGTCGCTCTGTTTAAGGCTCAGTTGATCCCTCCTGGGAGAGGTGGTCCGAAAGATCCAGTTTGCAGGAAGGCTTCCTGCCGAAAGGCAAAGGCAAAAAAAAAAAGTTGAATCTCAGGGAGACAAGCTCTCAGTCAAACTCAATGAGATCTCAGCTTGGCTAGAGTACTAACTCGCAATACAAAAACTCAGGTTAGACTCAGAATAAACAAAGCTTGGCAAGAGTACCCCAAACTGCCAAACACTCTGGTGTTGAGGTAGTGGCAACCAGCAGCTTAAAAGCACTCCGGTAATGAAGGTAACTGTCCACAGGTGTGTGAGGAGGCGGGTCGGAACCAGGCGCCTCCTGCTGGTGAAAGGGAGAACAATACAAAGACAAACAGACAAACACAAAGATTGGAGTCCTGACACTACCCTGCTAACATGAAACAATGGTGTTAAAGTAACTAAATATGGTTAAGTAAATGCCCAAAACGGTTGCATTATTTTTTTCAGTGTATGGTACAAACTGCAGGTACCAGAATAATAAAAGGGAACATATTTAATATACTTAATTGATAACAGCAGTGCTGTGTCTGTCTTCCTGCCAGCTCCGTGATCAGCTTCTCTGATTGGTTGATGTGGTGTCATGCCTCAGAAGCTCATGAGGCGCTGCTTCTGCTGCTCGAGACTCGTTGCAGGACCTTCTAATGATGCGGGTCAACCATTGAATTTGCATGTAAACCAACTGCTTCTGCTTCTCCAATCACATACAGTGTGAATGTTGCATTACATTGCCATTCACAACTTGAGAGATCATTAGGGTCAAACCACGAGCGTCAAATGACAAACAGCCAAATATTGAAAAAAATGGAAGGTAGAGCCAATGACTTGAGTGGTCTTAAAGGCCCCTTTAGTGGCCCTAATGGTCACATTAGTCAACACAATGGCCCCATTAGTGACCTTAATGGTCATTTAGCCAGATTGTTATGACTGTAACCTATTAGAGTATAAACAGTGATGTGCAGGAACATGTTTAAGAAGGTGTGTTAAAGAGAACTTGTTATAAAGAGGAATAGAACAACAGTGTTTTGTCTTGATGATTCCCAACAACTACTTTACTGTACCTCAGCCACCAAGTGAGTCCAAATCGACATGCAAGCATCACTGATAAGGAGAAAATATTGAATTGTACATAACTTTCATTTGAAATGATTTAAAGGGCTGCAGAATCAGCCAATGATCAGCTTTAGGGTGATCAAAGAAGTTGTGGTGCCACCTAAGATATTAGCAATGGTGTTTTCTTAAAGAAATTATGTGTTCTAAAGGGACTACATGACTTGACAGACTGATCTAAAGACAAATGAAGTAATTTTTCTGCAGGCTATTATAATCTTAGGTTTCAAAGATTTTGTCAGGTAATCCATAAACAGTTTAGGGCCACAGAATCCATTAGAGTATTGTGTCTAGGCATGTAGCAATCATTGTGGGCATAATATTTGTATGAGTTGAAAAGGTAATGCTTTTAGATAAGTGTTTTAACAAGAAAAATACCCCAGACACATCAATAATTGTACTGCATCTTCAATTAAAAGCAAAAAGAATAACATTATAGACCTTAATCTAATAGAAACTGTGTGTTTGGACATCACTAAAGATGTCACATCTCAGCCAATGGAGCCCTCAACTCCACTGATCACAGCTTCGAAGCAGGCCTCTGAAACAGTTATTCTGTAAATAAATATTACATCTGTGCTTGAAGAGATAGCTAAAACATACACTTCTTTTATTTATAGTATTTTTTGGTAAAGTAAATTTAGACATTATTTTAAATCCAATATATATTTTTGAGACACTGTTTTGTAGAATGGGATATAACATATTTCTGTGACCTAAAACATGACTACATAATTTGCCTCCAGAGTTCATTGTGGAAGCCCAAGAGCAGCCCCAGACAGATAGCGGGAACCCAAGATGGCAGGTGCTGATGGAGATACCCGGGGATTTCAGTCACATCCAGCTCAGCCTGCAGCCCTTCTGCATTTACCGCTTCAGAGTTATCGCTGTTAATGAAGTTGGCAGGAGTCACCCAAGCAAATCAACCAACAAGCACGCTACACCACCTACAGGTAAAACCTTCTCAACTGTGTTGACACCACCTGTATTTTCCAATATATATATATATTTCCTCCTAAAATCCAATGAGGTCCAGAGCAAGTTCTTTATAATTTAGGATCACAACATGTATAAAAATGGGATTATCTAACAGATGCTGATGTTTATTTTATACTGAAGGGCTTAAATAAAAACTGTCTCTTAAATGTGTGGACAGGGGTGGATTTAGGAAATTTGGGGCCATACGCAAAGACAGGTTTGGGGCCCTCTGAATTGAGAAGACAACATATAAAATAGACCCATTATACAGATACAGAAATTTTAATAGAATAGACAGATTATTTGTTCAACGTTTTCGTCCCTTTCCTTGTTGTTTTTCTCTTAATGTTTCGTACTCGGCTGACTTTAAATGCTGTCTCAAAAGGAATAATAGTTTTTTTCCAAGCATTAACCCTTTATAGGGGAAGTTACTGTTTTTGATCACTTGCATACCCCTTACAAATAGAGTTCCGCGTCCCTCAGTGAGGTCTAGAAGCAAAAGATCTATATCCACCCATTCAGCAAGATGCTGCTACATGGCTGTATCTTATTTTGGGATTTGATCAATTAGATGAGCCCTTGAATGAGATTTTAACTACTGTAAATTAAATTGAAAAAAGTTAATAATTCAATAAAAAAAAGGTAAAAAGCTAATTAAAAAAAGTTAAAAAGTTAATAAGCCTAGTTAACAATTATATTTAGGTTTATAAACTAAAGAATGTAAGTGCCAGTATCAGCATTAATGCCTCTAGGTTAATGTTGTACCAGAAAATGTGTTTCTTTTGCTCTTTGTTTTTCATTCATTTCTTATAGAAGCACTTTTGTTATTTTTCTTAATATATTCGGCAAGTTGGCGTTTCTTGACATTACTTTTTGCCATCAAAATATCCATATTTTTTTAATGTTACAAAGGTAATAAGGTCTTATCCTGGATTCCAATAACACTATTGGCTTGAAATGTTTTTTTCAAAGTATTTCACTGAGGGCCCTATGAAGGATTAAGCTCACTTAGCTGATTGCCCCTTCCTGTGTTTCCAAAAAGGCGATGGCAAAAGTAAATAACCTAGTCCTTCTTTTCACTGTAGACAAGCTGTGATCTGCTAATCTGTTCTCTATTTTTCATTTGTATGAAATAATAGCTGCATGAATCATGACAGCAGACAAGATAGAGGAGAGCAGGAGGCGGGGTTACCAATCTACTTGCTCTGGAGAGCAGAGTTCGCTGCTTTTAGATGTTGTCGACAAAGGCGCTAAAAAAGCGCTAGAGGGGTCTGAAAAGTCGCTAACTAGAGCAACAAAAGCGCTAAGTTTACAACACTGCTCTTCGCATCATTTGCTTTCTGTTTGAACCTTCCTGAACATGTGTAGCAAATGGACTGATCTGATGTGGTGGACACTGAAGGGCCTGAGACACACCTAATATTATAAGCTTTGTGATGGCATTTTGGCAAAAGGATTTTTATCAAAACATAATTAATGTGCACAAATAAGGACTAGTTGTATTCAACCATATGGGGACCCTAGGAACTTGCGGCCCTAGGCAACTGCCTAATATTGCCCAATGGTAAATCCCCCCTGTGTGTGGGTATGATTAAACTCTTCCCAACATTAATTTTCATCTTCTCTTTTAACTCCCACAGTTCCATATTCAAACCCCACTAATGTGCGCACTAATTCAACAGAACCAGGGATTCTGCTCATCACATGGGATGTAAGTGCCTCTGTGAATGAGTTTGGAAGTTTCAGTTGTTACACCGGTAGAACCAAATCTTTTTATTCTATGTGTCACTGCAGGAGATGGAAAAGCGTCTCCACAACGGCCAGGACTTCCGGTACCAGGTGTTCTGGCGGGAGGCTAACAGCCAAAACACAAACTGGGAAAGTTCCTATGTCAAGTCTCCTCCGTTTATAGTAAATAACACTGGAACCTTCACACCGTTTGAGATCAAAGTCCAGGCTGTCAATGCAAATGGATCAGGACCTGCACCAGAGGCGAGGACCGGACATTCAGGGGAGGACAGTACGTCATCAGATCTTTTCTTCTTCTTCATTTTTCCAGTCTCATAGTCCTTGTGGTTATTAAATAAACACTAGGAGCAATGCACTATATGGGATTATTCAGCTTGATGCATTTGAGACTTCATGGCTACTTTCAATTAACTTTATGATTTGAATTAATTTTAACTTGACAGATTTTACTTAAACACATATGTTAACTGTATTTTACCCTATTCTGGTTGAGGCCATTACTTGAATACATTTTCATATTGTTTTGACTATTTTGATTAATAACAACATGCACTATTGGCACCAGCTGTGATATACTTTGTGGTTGCCCCCTAGTGGTAGCAAAACTGCATAACAGACAGGAAAAGACTATTTTTGATTGTTTTACAATGCCCTCCAACAGACATTATCGCTTGAACTTTTTTGTACTTTGCCACATTTCAACCTCAAATTTCAATCCATTCTATTTACTATATTATTATTTATTTTCAGGGGGTTTTGTGGTGCACACAAACAAGAAAGTGCACGATTGTGGAGTTTAAACCAATTGTTAAAAGTAACACAAGTTAAAAATCATTTATGTTTAGCCTGCTGAGTCAATACTTCTTACCTACACCTTTTGCTGCTGGTCTGTAGACTTGCATCTATGGCACCTTGAACTTTAAACTACTCCAATATTTGTCAAATGCCATGCAAAATAGCTCTTTCTGATTGGATAGGGGGATTTCTTTTTCTGATTTTGGACACAGGATTATAAGTTGATGTCAGCAGAGTTCTGTACAGCTCTGGGTGTATCTATATTGTCTTTGGAACATGTATCCCTGCTCCAATCTCATCTCTTTTGCCGGCTCTTAGAAACTTCCTCATCCCCACTTAATCAGAGCATCCCCACAGTATGATGTTATGTTTTACAGTGAGGATGCTGAGTTTTTTGACACAAACAGTTCACCAAAAAGTTCAATTTTGTCTGACCAGATTTCATTCCACACCCCTCTCTGAGAGTTTTTACTTTAAAAAAAAATGTCTAAACCACACACTCAAAATAATTGTAAAAAATCAGAACTAAGAACTCAGAACCAGCTGCCTTGGTGGTCTTCTGATATTGGGCTATTAAAAGCACCCAGAAAACAACAGAATGGTAACGAGATATGTTATACTGTATATCATTTTTTTCCTTTTTGTATGAGTTTGAGAGATTAAATGAAAAATGTTGAATATGAACATCCAAACTGTAAAAAATATGTTTTCCTTTTTAACATATCCTGCCACTCTGCCCTAAAATCACACCAGGATATTCAAGTAAAAAAATAGGAGGGTTGTTATATTCTTTATTTCATAAACATATATCTTAGCTGGGTTTAAAAGTATTATGTAATATCATATTAATGGACATAAGGTGCAGTTGATGGCATAAGTTTACAAAAGAAAACCTGGAGTGGAATCAAGATTTTATTATTTATTTTATGTAAGGAACTAAATTTCAGATTTTTTCCCAGCATGATTTTGTGCTGGGTCGTCATTCTGCCTTGTAAAACTCCCTCTTCTCTCCTGACATCTACTTTGTCATTTTTTTATTGTCTTGTCTCAGAGCCAGAGGAGCCTCCCACTGGAGTTTCTTTCACTGTGATGAACAGCACGGTCAGAGTGACGTGGAACGAAGCGCAGAACGTCCGTGGTCATCTGCTGGGCTACAAGGTACCGTTTTCTTTACAACTTCACCACTTAAACGTCTCACCAGGGAGCATGATGAGCTCAGTACAGCATCCTGACTTTATGGGAAATATAGGTTAAATGAACAACTGGTGGCATGCAAACCACCTAAAGAGGTGTCCCATTTTAACAAATATACCTAAATGTTTTAGAATAAAGGCCTTTTAGTTGGGTTATGGTAAACAGCTGTCCGTCCAGCATTTTAAATTCTTAAGCTAAATGTGAGAACTCAGCAAAATCAGCAGGTGTAATTTTTTTCTGGTGTCTTCCTCTTCATCAGATATACATCAGAAGGTTGGGTCCCCACAGTGCACGAGAGAGGAGGTCGCTTGGCAAACATCACCACATGAAGGAAAGAGATAGACTTGAAAAACACAAACCGACGAACGGGGACAGCAGGGTGGTGCATGTCCATGGTGCAAAGACATCTGCTGAAGTCACTGATCTGCGTCTGTTCTCCCATTATGAGCTGAAGCTCACTGCCTTTAACAGCAAAGGGGAGAGCCCTCCTTCCCCTCCTGCACATTTCAACACCCCAGAGGGAGGTGAGTCCAAAATCAACTTATCCAGACCTCAGATTGCAGGTTCATGTAGAAACTTGCTCCCGTTTAGGGAAAACTGAGATTTTTCCAACCAAATAAAGGTTAAAAACCCAACTGATCATATTTTCAGAAGAACACAGTTCAGCCCAGATCAGGTATGATTAAACAAAATAATAGGAATGCTCCTGTCAGGGTTTAACCTATGAATGCTGAGCTCTGGTTTTTATATTGTCTCATTTTTTATTCTGACCAAGGGTGTAGGTTTGATTTCAACTTTGGTAGGGACACTTTTGGTCTGATGTCATTGGTCTTATGCAAAAATATGCATGCTCGTTTTTTATGCTTAACGTGAAAATCAGGGTGTGTTTAATTTAAAGAGAAAAGCAGCATTTCTTGCTACATTTATACAAATTTTATTAGCACTACACACATGAATGAGGAAATATGACATTTTCCACTTTGAAAAGGTTTGGATTTGAAATTAGCAGCGACTAAGACAGTAGGTAAATCTGTGCCTATTTAACAGAAATATAGTCTAAATATGTCTGTTATATGTGGATTTATACTTTCTTTTAGAAGATATAGAATTGTGCAGAGGTAAATCAAACTTCTTCTCCCTGGCTTTTAATCATGTTTAAGTGGACCTTTGGCAAAATTTTATTTTAAATTTATTTTATTCTAAAATGTATTTTAATTGAAACATTTATCCTATTATATTTTGTCTCCATTCAATTTTTCTTTTTGTAATGTGTTTATGTATTTAAGCTTTCAGTTTTTATCTTATGTTACTTAACTGTGATTCCTGTACTGCACTTTGGTCAACCCTGGTTGTTTCAAATGTGCTTTATAAATAAAGTTTGAGTTGAGTTGAGTATTGTAAATTATAAACATGTTATTAACATCTAATTTTTGGTAGGGACAAATAGGTCGATCCCTATGCAAACCTACGCCCATGATTCTGACCCTTTGAGGACCATGACTTACAAAAACATTTTTGCATAAACCACATTTTTTTTTAGAACAAACATTTGGTTTTAACGATAAAATGTGTTCTAGGTGTGAATCCATCAGAGTATGAAGCAATATAAACAGAGCCAGTCCAAGGCACAAGTAAAGAAATCAGCTACTTAGGACCATCACATCATCATAAATCCTATCAAATATACTTTTGACCTGCCTAACAGGAAGTCGGCTCCCTAATAATGGAGTAAACTGACTAATGTTCTGATATGTTCTGTAGAAAAACCAGATAAAAACCACAGTAAGTTATTCCTATGTTTCAGGGGCACATGTATGTGGTGATTTGTATTTGTTTTTAAATCTAAGCCCAGTTTAACCAACAATCCTTTTGTGCTCCTATTTTATGTGTTTGATTTTGTCTTCACAGCTCCTGGTCCTCCTTCATCACTGAGGTTTGAAAGCCCCACAGATACCTCATTGGTTCTTTACTGGACCCCTCCAGAAGAAATCAACGGAAAACTTAAGGGATATAGAGTTCTGTACCAGAAAGGTAAATTTTTAACTGCTTTAAAGGGAAAAAAATAGTTTAATATGAGCTATTTTTGGTTTATTTTACAATGCGATGATTAAGAACAGGGTTTTGTGTTTCCTACAAAGAAAAAGTTCAGATTTTAATAAAAAATACATGAAAGTATTGTCAAGGTGTAAACTATTTAGGAAGTGTGTATTTTACACGTGGCACTGAACACATCGGCTTGATTTGTGTTTAGTTTCAATGGGTGACGACAGTGATGTGGTGATGAGGGAGATCCCAGACCCCAAAGTAGACTCCTTTGAACTCAAAGATCTGGATCCCAGCAGCTCTTACCTCTTTAAAGTTATCGCCCAAACTGCAGCAGGAGACGGTCCTGCCATTGAAAGGATCAGCGCCACCCTACTAGAAGGAGGTGAGACAACACAGACTTTCCCCCCCCCCTCTTTTCTTCCCAACATCCCCAGCACTTAATTGCAATATCCATCAGATAATAAATTCACTATTACAGAAGAGTGATACCTAATCATACAATGATGGTTTCATGATGGCTGTTGATAACAGGGTAGAATCCATAGCAGGAGCATGAGACCACCCCTTTCCCTGGATGTGTGTTACGTTGTTTAAGCGTGCAGTAAAACCTGCTGCCTCTGTCTTCCTCCTGCAGCTCCTCCATCAAACATCACGGTAGTTTCCGGTAATACGTCATTCAACCTAAGCTGGGTCCCTGGAGAGCGCCACAGAAACCGAGGTTTCCAAATCTCCTACCTCAGGAAGAGTGGTAAGGAACTGAGAAAATATGATTAGAAAGCTCAGGTCAGCAGGAGAAAGGCGAGGGAAACACAAACCAGCTAAAATGTGTTTCTTGTGCAGAATAAACCCTATGGCAACAACCTGTTTGCTGCTCTCACTGTCCTTAAGATTTCTATTGTAAAAAAATAAAACAATTTAACTTAATAAAATATTTAACTTCAGAGAGGATTTTTGAGACCTTGCAAACAAGGAAGGAAAAATCAAATAATTTATTTAAAAATGTTTTTGCTTGTGTTCAGGAGACTGTCTTTACAAAGCATTCTTGTTCACAATGTTCAATTAAATTCAGTTTATTTATAGTTCACTATTATACCAGTAATATTATACTAGTTCACATCTCAAGGCACTTTACAGAGACAATTCAACCAGTTCATACAGTCAGGTTGGTTCAAAGTTTTCTATCCAAGAAAAACCAGCTGACTCCATCAACTCATTGACTCGACAGCATTCTCTCACGCCAAGCATGCTTGCAGCGACAGTGGAGAGTAAATCTCCTTTTTAACAGGAAGAAACTTTCCGCAGAACCAGGGTGCTGCTCACACTGAGCCTGATGTTTCACCCATAATCCAGAGAAAGAGCAGAATGTTGCATTTGCTTCAGGCAGAGCTTTTTCAATTGAAACGTACACAAACAGCATTATAGTTCTGGTCTAATATGTGGAATATTTAAGATTTTGTATTGCAGGGAACTATACCTGTGGTAAAGCTCAGCCTTACCTGCAAAGGCATAAATAATCTTCAGTGTTTCAGGTGATCTTTTAATGAAGGCAGGTAGGAAAGAAAACTTCTGTTCCCGAAAAGTCTGCTCATAGAGAGCTGTATGCTCAGCCATTACTAAGAGTGGTACTGAACTACAGAGAAGGGCACAAACCTCCATATTGCACCCTTTCAGCCCCTCTGGTTGCTAGGAGACCAAGAAGGAAAATGCAAAGGCTTTGTTGCTTTGTTAGTCTCTCAACTGTGGCGACACTCAGGCACATATTAATGAATGTTTTACAAAAAAAAAACCTACAAAATATACATACTCATCTTGAGCACAAGACAGACTGATGACATCATTAAAAACCCTGAAAATATTAAACCCTGATTCCAAAATCTCTTGTTATAAACTGCTTTGGCAGGATTGATGTACCAGAAAATGCTGTTGACAGCATGTGTACATAACAGAGAACACAAAAACTACTGAATGTTTAATTCCAACCATAGGGAAAAAAATCAACCTATAAAGCATGAAAATGATGCTTTTCACTGGCTCTTCTAGGTAAGAATACAGGCAGACCAGGTAACCAGAAAAACTTTTTTAAATTTATGATGCTCCTCTTTGTGTACAGCTGGCGGTCAGTGGGAGAAATCAGAGCTTCTCAACTCCTCGCAAGGTTTCTATTCGCTGTCAGGACTCCAACCAGGAACAGAATACAGCCTAATGATTGACCATGATAACAGCACCCTGTGGCAGGGGGTGTTCCGAACCGTAGGACCAGGTGGGTTGGCAGAGGTTTAACCTGTTGGGATCAAATAATTGTATACATAAAATACTTCAAACTGCAGAGAAGAATAAATAAGAGGAGAACGCAGTAGCCCCATCTCTAAACAGCAAATGAGAAGATTTTAAGCCTTACAGATGAAATGTTTTCTATCTCACAGTGCCGTCAGAAATGCCAGGCAGGTTTGCCACCCAGGGCTGGTTGATAGGACTGATAAGCGCCATCCTGCTTCTGATCTTGATCCTCCTCATCCTCTGTTTGATTAAGCGCAGAAGGGGTGGAAAATATGCAGGTACACCTTCACTTATGATCTGCAGACAATGTGACATAAAGCATCTCGTAATGTTACTGATGTGGAGGAATATTTTTTCTACTCACAGTGAAGGAAAAAGAAAAAAAGGACATCGACTTTGACCTTCAGAACAAAGATGAGACCTTCGGAGAGTACAGGTAGGTATTTACTAGGAAGAGTAAATAGTTTTCACACACACATAATAGAACAAGAGGAAAATGAACGTAGACAGAGATGCTCACTGGCCACTTTCTACCAGAACCAGTTTGGATCTCTTTTCCCATCAAAACTGCCCTGATATTTTGTAGCATAGAGTGAAAGGTGTCTCAGAAACATTATTTTGAGATATCTGTTCATGTTAACGTAATAATATCCCACCTTTGCTACAAATAATATTAGTCCTCATGGACTTCTAACTCAGACTCGTTACTGTGAATTCAGTCCATGATTCAGACATTGGCTGTAGATAAGGGGGAGCAGTGGGGCGTCTCTCCTTAAAATAAAATGGAAACACTGCTGCTGAATGATTCCCAGAAACTCTTCTTTTGTTTAATCGCAGGGTTTCCTTCAGCTGTTTTGTGTTATTGTAGCTCTTATCTCTTTCTTTCCTCCTTCACCGCCTGTCCTGCAGATCCTTGGAGAGGTGAGGGAGTCCACCGTCCTGTTGTCATGTGCTTCTTTGTTGTCAACGGTTCGGCACGCTGTTTTGCTTCCGCAGCAAGATAGTTTTAGTTTTTTTTTTTCCCCAGATCAGTATTTGAAGTAATTATAAAAATAGGACTTAAACAGAAAAAGGACTGGCTATTGATGCTTGCTTTTCACCTCCACCTCATTATCAACATTGCTTATTGTTCTCTACTTTTCCATAGTTTCTCTTTGTCACTTTAAAGCAAATGTATGCCTCCCATCTTTGCAAATATCAGTATATCATCTTATGCTGCTTTAAAAGTGACTGCAGAACAGGTTATCCAGGGAGGTTATAACAAATCTTCGGAAAACAGAACAAAAACTTTTTTTGTTAATAATTCAGATTTGGGCAGATAAGAACCATTTGCTTCATACTGCTGCAACCCCACTTGGATGCTTCCTCACAACAAAAAAATCTTTCCTGAATGCATTTTTTGTTTCAGTTCTCTCTGCATCATTTTCATTTTACACAGGCTACAAGCTTATTTCACTGTTGAGGCAAATAAAAGCAGTTTTTACTCTGAAATTCGGTCAAAGCTCAAGGTTCCAGCAGTGACACAAATACAAATGTTTTTTGAGGAGCTAAGAGAGCAATTCAGAACATTTAATAATTTTAAAAGCTATAAAAACTTGATTTTTTGTGTTGATCTTTCTTCATAACATTAATGGTGACCCTTTATTTGGCTTCAAGGTGATCAGTTTATTAGTTTTTGTTTCTCCACCTGCTTTATCAAGACAAACCACAGGTTTCACCACTGGGATCTGAAGAGTTATGTTTTTTGTTTTGTTTTTTATATTCAGTTTGTTTTATTTTTTGCTTCTTCATTGCTTTTTCCTTTGGATAGGGTCTTCTATTCTGCAGGAAGATACCATCCCTACTTTTGTTATTCAGAATTTCAATCCAGCTTTCATATCTATCTTAGACAGAAATGGTTACTTTGACCCTCTTGTAAATATAGATACAGCCATACCTATTTGGAACCCACTATTTGTGGAGGTTAGACATGCCTGAAAAGTCAGCTGTTGACAGGC